GTGTAGGGAGTGTCCTCAGCAGATGGTGCAGTTTCTTAGTGTATTCAGGATTAAACAAAGACTGTGAATGGCTATCCAACTACAGAAGCAGTTTCTCCTCCCTTGGTGTTCACACCTCAACTGCTAGCAGAGCACCTCACCCTCCCTGATTGAACTAACCTCGTTATCTCCACACTGATTTATACCTGCCTCTGGAGATTTCCATTACTTGCATCTGAAGAAGTGAGGTTCTTACCCACGAAAGCTTTTGCTCCCAATACTTCTGTTAGTCTTAAAGGTGCCACAGGCCCCTCTGTTGCTTTTTATAAAAAATCTAGAAAATCACTTTTTGAGATTATGTATTTATAGAACGGGTTATATAAAGAGTGCCAAAGAGCTTACAGCTGAAGGACCTTGTCCAAAGCCCACTAATACCAAGCCGAAAAGGCAGTAAAACAGTACAATACACTGCAGTATCCAATTAAACAAACAAAGGGAAGACTGCTTGATAGTCCGAATGTTCTACAGACCCAGGGGGTCTTCAGGAAGTTGTTATATGAAGCAGGAAGAGGAAGGCAAATGAAGAATGTAAATCAGAAGACAAACCTTAAGTGGCTGCATGCAAAAGGCATGACATTAATTCAGTCACTACTGAAAAATAAAAATTGTTTTGGATCAACCCAAAATGAATTTTTTTTCACTTTTCTTAGAGAAACAAATATCTGAAGGAAAAATATTTGGGTTGAATTCAACACTTTGTTTTGATTTTATCCAGCTTTTTATGAAGAGCAAAGGAAATACAAAAACCCCATTCAGGCAACCAAGCCTCCCCTGTATATCCTACAGCCTTTTGGTTAGAGCACTTCCCTGGGGTGGGGGACACCTGGGCTCATGTCTCCACTCTGCCTGGTTTACAGCAGGGATTTGAACGTTAGTCGCTCATAGCTTAATACTTTATTGGAGGAGAGAGTGGGATGCAGGTGTCTCCCTCCGGAGAGTCTCCTAACCAGCAGGCTGTCGTGTCGTTCTCTGTCTCCACCCCAGTGACTATTTAAGTATTTTATACCAAGTGTAACAGCTTCCGTAGGAGTGACTGAGTTGATGCTGTCCCAGGATATTCAGTGCCATAACACTGGACTATTCCGTTGGAAGTGGGAGTCCCTAGTTCAAATCCCTCCTCTGAGTGGGGACTTGAACCTGGGTTCAGACATCCTAGGTAAGTGCTGTCACCATGAGTCTATGGCCTTGGGGAGGCATTTCCACTTCTGTTGGTTTTGTGAATGGCATCTAACGCCCCTTGCAAATCTAGCCCAAAAAATGTTGTGGGCTAAAACTATTTGGCAAAGTTGTGTGAAATTCGCAAGTAGTTTTGGTGGACCTGAAACTGTATATTTTGGTGAATAAACTGTCTGGAAAATGTTGTTTATTTCTAATTGTGAGTAAACAATGATAGGGAGAAACGTTTAGTTTCTTGTAACTTGTCTCTTTGGTTTCTTTCTTTTCCTAGGCTCCAGCGATAGCTTTTGCTAACAAAGGCTACCACATTTTGTTGGAAAAGCCCATGGCAGTAAGTTAAGCAAGATCATAATGTTAAAGTTTAAACAGTTGGGGTAATTTTCAAATATCAGGGTAAAATCTTCAATCAATTTCCTTAGTATCTTTTCTGCTACATTTGCTAATTATCAAAGCCCTGATCCATATTCTTTTATATTTAATAAACAGAAAATGGAAAAAAAATTGTACATAGTCTTCCTTTCCCTGATCCTTCCTATTTTCGTTTAACTTAGAATATAAACTCCTCAGGGTAGAAACTCCCTTAAAGTGGGTGTGTGTTTGTACAGCCCTAGCACATGTAGGTGTTAATGTAATAAATAATATTCTGCCTGTGTGTAAATATAATGTGGGGTTTGCTTCCTTACAGCACATCTCTCGCTTTGGGATCTTGCAGTAAGGTGGTCATGTTAAATTCATGATATCATATAATTTCTCTGGCAGTAGAACATCATATTAGGCACAGGATTTTGACTTCATTGCAGAATCCAGAAGAACAAGAAATGAAATTTTTGGTTTAATACTGTCCTGCTATCTGCAATAAGGTGCCCTGAACCTGCACCTCTGATGTCAGTGGGAGCCTTGCCATTGACTTCAGTGGGCACAGGAGCTAATTCTGAGAGTCAGAGGAACACCAGTTCCTGCAATCTACCTGTCTTTCCACATAAATGTTTTTGCACTTCCAAGTTTGTACTATGTGAAAGTTGCTTTACAGACAGATTAAATCTTTGGGGTGCTGTATAAATAACATCTTTTATTATTGTTTATCTTTGTATTAGTGTGCTCTCAGTGCTGTACATAAATGTAGTAAGAGACAATCTTTTCCCCCAAAGACTATAGACAAGATGGACACAGTGTAGGAGAAAGGAGGAGTATTATCTTCATTTTATAGATGGAAATTGAGGCACAGAGAAGCAACATACTCATGGTAACAGAGTCTGGCAGAGCCTAGGAGTTGATCCCAATACAGGCAGTCCTTGGACTTATGGCACAATTGGTACCTGAAAAATTACGTCGTAAGTCGAAACGTCGTAACTTGGAACCGCAATACACTCCATTGTGGTACCAAGCATTGTAAAGTCGAAACCAACTGTCGTAAGTCGAATCAGGGGGTCAATTCAGAAACGTCGTAAGTGCCGTTCGTCATAAGTTGAACGTTGTAAAGTCGAGGACTGCCTGTATCCTGGAGACCCAAGGCTAGTGCCTCAACCATAAAACCACCCTTCCTTTAACGTCTTTATTTAAAAAAGTAATGACACACATTTTACATCAATAAAAACTATTTGCTGCTGTGCTGAAATCTTGGATAAGTTTCACCCTGCAGGAGCGTGCTTTGGTCTAGTTAAATGTAGTTTCTAATAATAATGCAAACATACACATAACTAGAGTATTATTGGTGAGTGCCATTTTCATACAGTTGAAGATGAAATTACAATTAGCACATAAGTGCCTACAAAGATATTTAATAAAACGTATTTTTCAAATCGCTAGTGTTGTGACAGCAGATTCATGCAGTAACTGTGGTACATAATGCAGTCAGAATAGAAATAACTGACTGGGTTGTTTTCTCTGGTTTATAAGGTAACACCTGAGGACTGCAAAGAAATTGTGTCTGTATGTACAGCTAACAATGTCATGCTTGCAGTGTGCCATGTCCTGCGGTACTATCCAGCCTCACTGAAGATAAAGGTATATTGCTTTCACAGTAACCAGTTGAGTCAGTAAATGCTCATTCCTGCTATGTGATATGGATATTAACTTTTGTGACCGTGACATTGGTCATGGGAGTAGGGTCAATAAATTCCTGTACTATGTGTCACATTCCTGGTACTACTGCGATTGGTTGTCAGAGCATAAAAAATAATCATTTAGAATTGCAAGAAGCAGCTGTGAAAGTTTAGACCAGGACTTTAGGTGTTCGGTTACTGAGAAAATAAGGTTGTAAATGAAATTCCACAAGAATGCTCTCACTGCCACAACTTAAAAGCTCACCCCAGGAAAACAATAGATTTAAAACTTAAACTTATTCTAATGGAGAAGTCACTGCGCCTGGCATCCGACCCCGGTCATCAGATTCCCTCTGGACACGGGTGTCCAACAACCACTTCTGACAAACAGACTTCACCCGTGTCACAGAGGAAAGCTCACTCCTCTAAAAATATGGCAAGAAAACGGGCACCAACTTTTCCTCTTAAAGAGCCACCGAAAAAGAAATAGTCTCTGGCTTGTTCTAGGTTCTCGGTACCAACCGCACCATGGCTGAGTACATACAAAGCACCGGGGTCCTCGGGTACCGCACGTACCAAGAAAGCCAGTGACCACAAGCAGGCAGGCTCAGAGTCAAGAGGCAAAGAGAAGCCTACCTCCTCCACCGCAGTACCGACGGGGCTGCCTAAACATGTGGCACCGATACGCTCTCCATAGGCTACGGTGCCACCCTCAGCTCCCATAGCGCAGGGTGCTCCGACGTCAGCACAGATGTCTACGACTACAACAGCACAGTGATTATTGACCGCCTTGGTACCGAAACCATCTGTAGCACACCAATTTCTTCACCACAAGGACTTACTAATCTTGTCAACATCAGACTCACCACTCCTCAGCACACGTTACTTCGGTGCACATGGTACCCACGCCAACTCACCTCCCCTCTGGCCCCTCCATTTTCCGGTGAAGGTGATGAGGAAAAGGGTGCTTACTCATCACTCCATTCCTCTCACATTCAAACGAGTACGGTATTAGGTCCACCTGTACAGCCCAAATATCACCACTGGGCTGACACCTAGATACGGTATGGGCACCCATGGACGCCACCACCTATGCCATTCCCTACATAGTGGCCCTGCTGGGACTCCTGGGGGACATACAGGAGACAATACCCTAGACCCCCGAACTCTACAGAGAGAGGACTAGATCTCCCCCACCACTCTCAGTGAAATTTTTGAATAACAGGAAGAAACCCTGGAACAAGAAACTACCCCAACAACCAACATTTTCTCTTCTTCCTTAGGCCTGGTCTACACTAGGACTTTAATTCGGATTTAGCTGCCTTAATCCGAATTAACCCTTCACCCGTCCACACTACAGAGCCAGTTAATTCGAATTAAAGGGCCCTTTAAATCGATTTCTGTACTCCACCTCGACGAACGGAGTAGAGCCTAAATCGATTTTGTTAATTCGAATTAGGGTTAGTGTGGACGCACACCACCGAATTACTGTGTTTAAGTTAATGGGGTAGTGTGGCCGCACACCACCGAATTAATGTGGTTTAAAACCGAATTAAGGTGCTTAGTGTGGCCGCGCACAATCGAATTTATACAACCTGTTTCCCAAATTCGAATTATCTAAATTCGGATTAATCCTGTAGTGTAGACATACCCTTAGACGAGGCCATGATGCCTCCATCACCCACAACAGCCAATGACTTCAAATGCTTTCAAGAGCTGTTCAGAAGAATTGCCGATTCCCTAGAGATTCTCCGAGAGGAGGTTCCAGAGTCCCAACATAAATTACTAGACATTCTGCAAACATCATCAAAGATTGCACTTCCTGTAAATGAAGCACTTATGGAACCAGCTAAAAATATATGGCAGACCCAAGCAACTATCCCGCCCACTTAAAAGAGAGGGGATAAAAAATATTACATCCACTCAAAGAAAATGGACTTTTTATTCTCTCACCCCACACCAAACTCCTTAGTGGTTGACGCCATCAGTGAACTGGGCAGACAACACCACTGCAGATCCACTCCCTATGACAAAGAGTGGAAACGGTTAGACTGCTTTGGACGCAAGGCCTGTTCATCGGCCACTTTCCAATTTCAAATTACTAACTATGCTGCACTGATGGAAAAATATAACCATACAAATTACAGTAACTCCTCACTTAAATTCGTCCCGGTTAACATTGTTTCATTATTAGGTTGCTGATCTATTAGAGAACATGCTCGTTTAAAGTCGTGCAATGTTCCGTTATAAGGTTGTTTGGCTTGCCCTGGTCCGCCCGCCCGCCTGGCATTCCAGTCGGGGCATGGGGGCTTGCCCCGCTCCGCCAGCCCAACGTTCCTACTGGGGAGTGGGGTCGGGGAGCGGGGTCAGGGCATGGGGACTTGCCCAGTTCCACCCAGGGAGTGGGGTCAAGGCGCAGGGTCTTACCCCACTTTTCCCTCCTGGCATTCCAGTCGGGGAACAGGCAAGCCCCCGACCCCGCTCCCCGGCAGGAGTGCCAGGCGGGCAGAGTGGAGCAAGCCCCCGCACCCCGACCCCGCTATGCCCCTGCCTCAGTCAAGCTTCACAATCATCATTGGTAAGTACAGTATTAAACTGTTTGTTTAAAATTATTTAAAACTTGTACTGTATATGTATACAATGTCTTTTGTCTGGTGAAAATTTTCCCCCTGGAATCTAACCCTTCTATTTACTTTAATTCTTATGGGAAATTGGATTAACTTAACATCGTTTTGCTTAAAGTAGCATTTTTCAGGAACATAACTACAACCTTAAGCAAGGAGTTACTGTACTCCAAAATGTCAGACTTTATTGAATACATACCAGAGGACAAGAGAGAACAATTCAAAGTGGTGATCACAGAGAGCCATCTCCTAGTCAGAACTGCTTTACAGGCATCTCTAGATGTGGCAGATATGGCGGCACGTTCCACAGCTACCACTGTAGTCATGCGTCAGGCTTCATTGCTTCACTTCTCCGGCGTCTCAAGGGAAGTACAGTCGGCTGTGGAGGATCCCCCTTTTAATGGTCTGAAGTTGTTTGCCACGACAACCGACAAGTCCCTTCACACCTTGAAGGCCTCTAGGGCAACTCTTCGTTCCCTCAGGATATACACATCTGCACAGAGGAAAAAAACAGGGAAATACTATTCAACCCAGCTTGCAAGAGCTGCCCGCTACGCCCAAGAACAGAGACAATCTAATACACAAAAACGTAGACAGAGATCTCCAAGGCGTCGACCACTCCCTACTCAATCATCAGCAACCCTCTGCAAAACAATAATTTTAAAGGTTTGATCGAGGGCCTGAGACACCTCCCCCATTCCTTAGTGCTGACACCATTACTGACCCCCATTTTGGACACCATTTGACCCCTTTCTACTCAGCATGGAAGACCATCACCATGGACAAATGGGTTCTAGAAATACTCAGCACAGATTATTCAATACCATTCACCTCCATCCCCCCTACCCACTCTCCCTCCCTGTCTCTCTTCAGTGACCCCTCTCACAAACACCTTCTACGGCAAGAAGTAAACCACCTCCTACATTTGGTCGCCATGGAACCAGTACCATCATAACACGTAGGGAAGGGCTTTTATTCCCACTACTTCTTAACCTAGAAAAAGAACGGTGGATGGAGACCTGGTCTCAACCAGTGCACACAGAGTGGTTACTTTGAGATGACTGCCTGTGTGGCTCTGGAGTCCCTGCCTTCCTTGCCCACTATTTCAGAGTCTTGTGGTTGCTTGATTTTGTACTGAATTGAGTATGTGGGGCCTTGTCAGTGGTTGTAATTAGATGAAACATGTATTTGTAAGGCTTTGTTGACAATCAGATTTAATGACAGATTTGAGCTGTGGGAATGTGTATTATGAAAGATTATCAAATGGGCACACATATTGACTAGAAATCCATGACAGTTGAAATATAGGATTACAAAAATATCATATTACCTGGAAGGGTAAAGGGGGTATGGAGTTGGAACAGTTAATTCCCACTTTCAGGAAAGATACCAAGTCTTTATTTCCAAAAAAAATGCATAATGGTTACTCCTGGGTAAGATCTCATTGTGATGCTTTGGGTTTCAGCCCGGCCCAGTAAGGAGTTCTGTCCTCACCTGCTTTGCACCCTTGGTGTAGCCTTGGCTCAGAGCCCTGATCCTAGTATCATGCTCACAGCACAGCAGCCTCACCCTGACTTCCACCAGCCCGGTTACTCCTTGCAGGGTGACACCACCAGCCCTTCCAGCTCCAAGATTCTCCCAAACTGGCTCCCCTGCAGTATCCAGTCCTTCTCACTGGACCCTCACAGAAGATACTCAGTTCACTGCCTCCAAAGCGACAGAACAAACACCAGCCTGCTAGTTTAGTTGAAAGCCCACACTCGGTTGAAATGTACAGCACTGAGCTGGTTTGTAGTAAAACTAAAAATAAGTTGGTTAGCAAAGACCACAGGATTTAAGTGACTTCTAGTAAGAGGGAAAGATATGAAAAGTTACAACCAAAATAGGCTTCTAGTGACTAAATTTAACTTCAGCAAGCTACAGTCTTGGTCTGAGCAAGTTTCTCACCTATGTTCAGTTTTCAGAGACTTTCAACCCTCTTTGTTAAAAGGTTCCACTTTTCTGAGATGTACAAGAGCTCTGACATTTTGCATCTGCTCAGTAATGGATACCCAAGATGGCTCTTTGTCCTTGCTTATATCTTCCAAAGTTCAATGGTATTGCTTCAGGAGGCGGGAAGGTTTTCTGGAGCTGCAGCGTCCATCCCGCGCTGAGAGAATTAAGTGGCCATCCCCCACACTGGTTTGCCTAATGGCTTTTTCTGTCTTGTGTGTAAATGTAATTTCATTGTCTCTCATGTTCAGTTTACATTGGAGAAACATCCAAGCAAGATACATTCCTTTGTCCAGAACAGGATGATTTAAACCCTGCCTGCCAAACACATTTTGAGAATGTATTT